TCTATAGTCTAGTCTATAGTCTAGTCTATAGTCTAGTCTATAGTCTAGTCTATAGTCTAGTCTATAGTCTAGTCTATAGTCTAGTCTATAGTCTAGTCTATAGTCTAGTCTATAGTCTAGTCTATAGTCTAGTCTATAGTCTAGTCTATAGTCTAGTCTATAGTCTAGTCTATAGTCTAGTCTATAGTCTAGTCTATAGTCTAGTCTATAGTCTAGTCTATAGTCTAGTCTATAGTCTAGTCTATAGTCTAGTCTATAGTCTAGTCTATAGTCTAGTCTATAGTCTAGTCTATAGTCTAGTCTATAGTCTAGTCTATAGTCTAGTCTATAGTCTAGTCTATAGTCTAGTCTATAGTCTAGTCTATAGTCTAGTCTATAGTCTAGTCTATAGTCTAGTCTATAGTCTAGTCTATAGTCTAGTCTATAGTCTAGTCCAACGGTTCCCAAAAGGGGGTCCGCGGACCCCTAGTGGTCCGTAGCAAAATCCTAGGGGGTCCGCGAAGACGAACGAAAAAAATCATGAATAAAAAATATTCTCTATATGTTACAAAATATTAAAAATATCTCCAAATTTTTCATAAATACTAAAATACACAATTTTTATTCAATAATCCCAGATTTGTTGGTGACTCTTTGAATTTTATTGTTTCGGTCGTTTATCAGTTTCATCCTGAAATTATTGTTTCACTTTTATAAAGTAAAGTATTACGTGATTTGTAATTTTTATAAATATATATGTATCGCAATAAATGTTTTTATAGCAGACGGATAATGATTTGCCTTAGAATTAAATACTGATACTGGTATCCCGGAATATGAAGTTAGGTCACATTTCATAATATTTTTTTAAATTGTAAGCAAAAGTGTTAATCTAGTTAATTTTAAATATAAATATTCTATTCCAACGTGATACACAGATTTTAACTTCATTTTGTTGTCCAATATTATTAAATCAACATCAGAAAATTCATAGCGTTTTGCGTAAATAGTCAAAACCACGCAGTAAAATAATTCGTAGGTATTTTAAAATTCAAATTTAAGATCCAAATTCACAGTACATTCGCAAAGAGTTCAGGTCATATTTTATGTGGGTAACGCATTCCGCAACAACATCGAAGAAGTCTAACTTTCACATATTTTCCCGAAAACTTAGCTTACATACTCAGCTCACTCCTATGCAATCGCAAAAAATTTAGAAACATGACTCTTTAAGCACACGTCGACAATACTTGTTAAAGAAACCTTTTCTCTACCTTGACGAGAAATTAACATGAAAGCTCTCACGATCATAAAATTAAACATCATGTTAGAAGTCATTCTATATTTAAAACCATGAAATTGAAAACATCTCCGAAATACTAAATGTTCTCAATGTACGGGAATATTTTATAGGGTTTATGGACCAGGACTAAGACAATTTTCGGACGAACAATTACACAGTGATACAGCAAAAAAATGCAAGGGTTCTCATATACCAATTCTATTTCGTTATAGTCCATAGAGTAGGAATTTATTTTTTAATTTTTCCCGATCACTTCGTTTAGTTCCTTTTTAAGAGCAAAAGTTGTGAAAAAGAGCTATTTTTGAAGTTTTAACTTAAAAAAAATATATGTTTGGTAGTTTGCAACCGATTTTCAAATTGGATATTTTGTTTTAAAGATACAAGTGTTGTCTTTCAACCCAAAAAAATAAATCCAAAATTTATGATTAATGTCTTGGTTACGGCCATTTAAGTAAAAAAAAACTCACACTTTTTTCACAATTTTTATACCCACCATCAAAAAAGATGGGGGGTATATTGATTTTGTCATTCCGTTTGTAACACATCGAAATATTGGCCATAGACCCATAAAAGTATATATATTCCGGGTCCTTATTAAATTCTAAGACGATCTAGCCATGTCCGTCCGTCCGTCCATCTGCCTGTTGAAATCACGATAGGGACCACACGAGAGGAGCTAGACAGTTGAAATTTTGCATAAATATTCCCTATTGCTAAAGTTTGTTTGGTATTAAAAATAGGCAATATCGGTCCAATTTTTCGGATAGCCCCCATACAAGTGGACCTCCAAAAACAGCTTTAACGGACATAACTGCTTCAGAAGTACGAGTATAGGGATGAAATTCGACATAAATAAGTTTCATATGAGCCAAAATCTTTCTACCAAATTTTTTGAGGATCGGCCCATAAATGACCCTACCCCTAATATATGGTCCCCTTCAGAAAATTACTTTAACACTCATTACTGGCCTAAAAATTCGAGTATAGCGATGAAATTCGGTATAAGTAAGTTTCTTACGAACCAAAACCTTTTAACCAATTTTTTTTAGGATCGGCCCATAAATGACCCTACCCCCATATACGGTCCCCTTCTGAAAATGACTCTAACACTCATTACTGGTCCCAAAATGCAAGTATAGCAATGAAATTCTACATAAATAAGTTTCATGTGAGCCAAAATCTTTCTACCAAATTTTTTGAGGATCGGTCCATAATTGACCCTACCCTCATATAAGGTCCCCTTCAGAAAATGACTTTAACACTCATTACTGGTCCAAAAATGTGAGTATAGCGATGAAATTCGGTATAAGTAAGTTTCTTACGAACCAAAATCGCTCTACGATTTTGTTTTAAGATCGTCCCATAAATGACCCTATCCTCCATCTGAAATTGACTTTAACGCTCATTACTGGCTAAAAATTACGAATATAGCAATAACATTTTACACAATTAAGTTCCTCGCGAGCCAAAATATTTTTAATAACTTTTATGTGGATAGGTCCATAATTGGCCCTACTCCCCCTATTGGGTCCACTTCAGGAAATAGCTTCAACGCTCATTACTGTCTTAAAAATATGAGTAAAGCGATGAAGTGCTACACACTTAAGTTTCTTACGAGCCAAAACCTCTGTACCAATTTTTATTTTGGATCGGCCAAAAAATGACCCTTCCCGCATATAAGGACCCCTCTCTCTGCAAATAACTATAATGCTCATTACTGGCTTAAAAATATGACTGTAGTGACTAAAATTGATGCACATAAGTTTAATGCGTGCCAAAATTTCTCCACAACATTTAGGGAGGATCGGCTCTACGTTGGCCTTGAAGCAGTAACTTTAGCTTTTATTACATTTGAAAAAAGGCACATTAAGTTGGGTTTCCAATGATGGTCAATTTATGATAATCGATGAAAAAGGTTATGAGTTGTGCTAAGTTTTATAAAAATATAGCATATTTCTTCCATACAAAAACGTTCATGTTTCTGGTTTTCTTTGTAACAAGTTTAAAAAATGTTTATAAACATTTTTATACAAAAATTAATTTGTATGGAGAAAACCAAAAATTCGAGAAACATTCTATTAGAAAAATTGGCATAAATCATCCAGTTTTTCATAGATTTTTATGAAATAACAAGTTTTAGAAACCTTCCTTTATGTGATTCTTCAGGAAAGTAATAAAAGATGAACTCACTGCCTCATGGTCAAAGTAGAGCATGATGAAAATGAAAATTTTTTAAAAAAGTGTGAGTTTTTTTACTTAAACGACCGTAACCAGACATTTGACCATAAATTTGGATTTCTTTTTTTGGATTAAAAGACACTTGTATCATTAAAAAAAATATCGGATTTGAAAATCGGATGAAAACTACTAAACTTATGATTTTTCAAATTTAAAACTTCAAAAATGGCTCTTTTTCGCATCTTTTGCTCTTAAAAAGTAAGTTAACGAAGTGATAGGGGAAAACTAAAAATATATTCGTACTCTATGGACTATAACGAAATAGAATTGGTATATGAGAACGCCTGCATTTTATTTTTCTTCACTTTTGTATCACAGTGTTATTTATAACAATAAGATATCAAAATATGTATGGGGGTCCGTGAAATTAAATAAATTCCTCAAGGGGTCCGCGAAGTAAAAAATGGTGGGAACCGCTGGTCTATCTATAGTCTAGTCTATAGTCTAGTCTATAGTCTAGTCTATAGGTCTAGTCTAGCTATGTCTTGTCTATAGTCTAGTCTATAGTCTAGTCTATCGTCTAGTCTATAGTCTAGTCTATAGTCTAGTCTGTAGTCTAGTCTATAGTCTAGTCTATAGTCTAGTCTATAGTCTAGTCTATAGTCTAGTCTATAGTCTAGTCTATAGTCTAGTCTAGTAGTCTAGTCTATAGTCTAGTCTATGTCTAGTCTATAGTCTAGTCTATAGTCTAGTCTATAGTCTAGTCTATAGTCTAGTCTATAGTCTAGTCTATAGTCTAGTCTATAGTCTAGTCTATAGTCTAGTCTATAGTCTAGTCTATAGTCGCTATAGTCTAGTCTATGTCTAGTCTATAGTCTAGTCTATAGTCTAGTCTATAGTCTAGTGAAGTTAGTCTATAGTCTAGTCTATAGTCTAGTCTATAGTCTAGTCTATAGTCTAGTCTATAGTCTAGTCTATAGTCTAGTCTATAGTCTAGTCTATAGTTCTAGTCTATAGTCTAGTCTATAGTCTAGTCTATAGTCTAGTCTATAGTCTAGTCTATAGTCTAGTCTAGTCTAGTCTATAGTCTAGTCTATAGTCTAGTCTATAGTCTAGTCTATAGTCTAGTCTATAGTCTAGTCTATAGTCTAGTCTATAGTCTAGTCTATAGTCTAGTCTATAGTCTAGTCTATAGTCTAGTCTATAGTCTAGTCTATAGTCTAGTCTATAGTCTAGTCTATGTCTAGTCTATAGTCTAGTCTATAGTCTAGTCTATAGTCTAGTCTATAGTCTAGTCTATAGTCTAGTCTATAGTCTAGTCTATAGTCTATAGTCTAGTCTATAGTCTAGTCTATAGTCTAGTCTATAGTCTAGTCTTTGCCTAGTCTATACCCTAGTCTATAGTCTATTCTATAGTTTCATATAAATCTAGTCCATAATCTATATGGGTCTGTACAAATTTAACATTTGACCTTTCACCCTCTCTTTAGTTTTCAACCTCCGTTTGGAAAACATATTCTAAACTATAACCCAAATTTACCGTTGCAGTATTTTCTTCATCCTCCTCTTCCTCCGCCTCCTCGTCATCATCATCCTCATCATTATTAAGATCTTTGGCCGATGTAGTACGACTTAAAGTCTCACCACCGCTACAATTGCCCATTGAATCGGCAGCATTGTGGCTAGAGCCAACAACGCTGCCGCTGTTACTGCCATTGTCCATCAGCATAATAAAAACTGATGAGGTGTAGGGGAATAATTAATTATTAGGTACTTTTATACGTTGATAACTAATTTTAATTATTAGTTTTTTTCTTGCTTTTTTTATTATTATACTTTTTTATCGTTGTGTTGTGTTTTTTCACTCACTCTCTCGAGAATATATTTTTTCACAGCAATAACAGACAAATAATAACAATAACAATTAAATATAATTACACAAAATATGGTTTTATTTGCAATAAATTATTTTATGTTTTTATTTGTTTATATTATTAGCACACTTTCGTTTTCCTTTAAATTTGCAAACCCTGGCTTATGAAGTGGGTGTTTGTTCTTTTTTTGGTTTTTGCTAAGGGCCTTGTTCCCGTTTTATTTGTTGTTGTTGTTTGCCCAATTTATTACCCGCATTAATACGAAATTTTTTTATTTCTTGTCTCTTTCTTTAATTTTTATGCCATTCAATAAAAACAACACCAAAATGTCGGTATAAAATTTATATTTTTCAATCATGACAAATTTCCTTAATCAAAATGGCAAAACGAGGGAGTTAAGAGGGTGAAGCTTTTTAGGCTTTACAGGATCTGTTAGAAGTTTAACACTGTTTTGTTGTGAGGCAGGCAAAATAAACAAAAGGAAACAGCACATTTTTTATCTTAATTATGGTCATGGTGTGAACACATTTATCATTAACAGAACAGAAACAAAATGTAAGAAAAACTAAAAAGCGGAAAAACTAAAATTCCCGGTCACGAATGTAATTAAAGTAAAAGGATTTTTATTTCTTTAGTTAAGCTAAAGTTAAGTAATAAAATTTTTTTAAATTTGTTGATTTTTTGTTTTTTTTTTTTTTTTTTTTGTATAATTTTATTTTATAAATTTTTTTTAAATTTTTTTCTATTAAAAATTTTATTTATTTAAAAAAATTTTGTATAACGTATATTAAGCGAATTGACAACATTTGTGTTTAAAAGCCTTAAGGCAACTAAACTATTATTAAGAGCTTGCTAAAATAAAGGTCCTGTAAAGCTTTTCATTGTTATTAAACTCAAACAAAAACTTTCACTTTAGCGCCAAAATCCTTAGAAAGTATAAGTGAAAGTTTTAAAACAACTATTAAAACAATAACAAATTGTTTTAAATTTAAAAATTAAACTAACATTAACTAACAAAACTAACATTTCTTACTTTAATTTAAAACTTTAAAATTTTCTTAAAAAAATTCTTTTAATTTATATCAAACATTTGTTAATCTGGCATTTCTAGTGTTAATGGAAACCTGTTTATGTTCACTTACTCTCTTTGTTGTAAATAGTACTCTCTTTCAAAAGCTTTTACCCAGAAACAGCTGTTGACGTTATTGTTTCATATTTTTTTCATTTCCATCTGAAAAAGCTTTTTGCTCCCATGTTTTCCTAAAGGTTAATGTCACTGCATAAGCCATTCATAAATACGTACTTACTTGTATATGTACTGCATAACTACACAATACATGTGTGTTTGTGTGTATAAAACCAAACTCTCCGAAGGTTAAGGGCTTTACTAAACGGGCATAATACTTTTTGTTCGAACTCATATAGTCTAGGCTACTGTCTAGTCTAGTCTATTGTCTAGTCTAAAGTCTAGTCTATAGTCTAGTCTATAGTCTAGTCTATAGTCTAGTCTATAGTCTAGTCTATAGTCTAGTCTATAGTCTAGTCTATAGTCTAGTCTATAGTCTAGTCTATAGTCTAGTCTATAGTCTAGTCTATAGTCTAGTCTATAGTCTAGTCTATAGTCTAGTCTATAGTCTAGTCTATAGTCTAGTCTATAGTCTAGTCTATAGTCTAGTCTATCTATAGTCTAGTCTATAGTCTAGTCTATAGTCTAGTCTATAGTCTAGTCTATAGTCTAGTCTATTAGTCTAGTCTATAGTCTAGTCTATAGTCTAGTCTATAGTCTAGTCTATAGTCTAGTCTATAGTCTAGTCTATAGTCTAGTCTATAGTCTAGTCTATAGTCTCGTCTATAGTCTAGTCTATAGTCTAGTTCTATAGTCAGTCTATAGTCTAGTCTATAGTCTAGTCTAGTCTATAGTCTAGTTCTATAGTCTAGTCTATAGTCTAGTCTCTAGTCTAGTCTATAGTCTAGTCTATAGTCTAAGTCTATAGTCTAGTCTATAGTCTTGTCTATGTCTAGTCTATAGTCCTAGTCTATAGTCTAGTCTATAGTCTAGTCTATAGTCTAGTCTATAGTCTAGTCTATAGTCTAGTCTATAGTCTAGTCTATAGTCAGTCTATAGTCTAGTCTAGTCTAGTCTATAGTCTAGTCTATAGTCTAGTCTATAGTCTAGTCTATAGTCTAGTCTATAGTCTAGTCTATAGTCTAGTCTATAGTCTAGTCTATAGTCTAGTCTATAGTCTAGTCTATAGTCTAGTCTTAATCTAGTCTATAGTATAGTCTATAGTCTAGTCTATAGTCTAGTCTATAGTCTAGTCTATAGTCTAGTCTATAGTCTAGTCTATAGTCTAGTCTATAGTCTAGTCTATAGTCTAGTCTATAGTCTAGCTATATAGTCTAGTCTATAGTCTAGTCTATAGTCTAGTCTATAGTCTAGTCTATAGTCTAGTCTATAGTCTAGTCTATAGTCTAGTCTATAGTCTAGTCTATAGTCTAGTCTATAGTCTAGTCTATAGTCTAGTCTATAGTCTAGTCTATAGTCTAGTCTATAGTCTAGTCTATAGTCTAGTCTATAGTCTAGTCTATAAGGCTAGGTCTATAGTCTAGTCTATAGTCTAGTCTATAGTCTAGTCTATAGTCTAGTCTACTAAGTCTAGTCTATAGTCTAGTCTATAGTCTAGTCTATAGTCTAGTCTATAGTCTAGTCTATAGTCTAGTCTATAGTCTAGTCTATAGTCTAGTCTATAGTCTAGTCTATAGTCTAGTCTATAGTCTAGTCTATAGTCTAGTCTATAGTCTAGTCTACAGTCTAGTTTATAGTCTAGTCAATAACATAATCTATAGTCTTATCTATACTCTATACTCTAGTCTATAGTCTAATCTATATTCTAGTCTATAGTTTAGTCTATATTCTAGTCTATAATCTAGTCTGTAGTCTAGTTTATAGTATAGTGTATAGTCTAGTTTATAGACTATTCTATTGTCTAGTCTGTAGTATAGTCTATATTCTAGTCTATAGTCTAGTCTATAGTCTAATATATAGTCTGATCTGTAGTCTAGTCTATAGACTAGATTTGAAGTACAAGTAATCGTATGCGACTCAATTGCACATTACAATTAATTGTAATTTACTTGAAACTGAATTACTTAACTTATTCTGATTTCATTAAGTATTCCTCCTAACCTGATTATGTGTTGTGTTCGTAGTAAGGCCCTACCATAAGGCCTCTCTCTTACCCCCCAATTTACACTGTATTAGAATTGTTGATGGTGCCTGTTCTTGCATGTCTTTTTGTATTCCAAAAGCCAATGGCTTTAGCTTTTATGTTGTACTCTTTTTTTGCTCTCTTGTGATTTCCTCCAATGAGTATGTTTGCGTATGTGTGTGACGTTGGTTTTGTTATTGCAGAAGATTTCTGGATAAGGATTTCCGGGATTAGCATTCAACAAACCATAACATTAAAGTGCATTTCTCAGCTTGGCATTGGGAATAATTATAAAGAAAACCATTTAAAGCTTTTTGTTGTTTTTCTTTTAGATTTAAGATTCTCTTGTCTGGCTACAGGTGTGCTTTTGATTTATTTTACAAACACCACCATAAATTTCCGTTTAATTGCCAATGCATGTAGGGGTAGGAGTTGCAACAGGATATAAGAAGGATTAAAATGATTGTGTTTGTTTTTTTAAAATGAAAATCTAAATGTCATTAGTGGGGTAAAAGGAGGAGTATAGAAAGGAAGGAAAGAAGAGAAACATAAATCTTTAGCAAAACGGAAGTGGACATTTTTAAATGCTTTGTCTATGTATTTATTTAAATTGATATTGAACTTGAAAGTATTTAAAGAGATTACATCTAAAAAGAGTTAATTATTTAGACAAATTAAAGTTTATCTTCGAAAATATCTGTTACCAAAGCTTACTTCAATATTTTGAAATATTTTTCCATTTTTTTCTCCACATTTCTTTGATGTAGTAAATGAAATCTTATTTTTGCATAAAAACCAACTTATTATTTTCTACCTTTTGCTTGTAAGTCCTTTACAAATAAATACAAAAAATGTATTATTTTGTATTTTTCCCCGTTTAACAGCCATAAGCGGATTACTACCTGTCAGCTCTCAATATAAATGGGAATAAAGTTCTTTTTTTTTTTCTTCAGTTAAAGAGCAAAGTAGCAGCAAAATAATTATTTATATGTACATAAGTGCTTACTATATAAGAGGCAAATAAGCAAAAGGAGTTATCTCCATTTTTATACAAATTTGTTTTACAGCTTCTACATGTTCCAAAAATCTTTGGAATTATAGTTCTTTTCTAAAAATTTCAAAAATTACAAACTTGGAGTTAGCTCATATTGCTCTATACATTTCACAGTTACCTTAAGCTTGTTGAGAATAATTATAAGTTGATTGTTTATTTCTTATTATATTGACTGTATTGTTTCAAATTATAGGAAATAGTAAAACGTTTTTTTTAGAATCAATTGAAAAAATTGAGATAAAATTAATCTTACGAATAATTACAACAAAAATGGGATTACAAAAGTAATTTGTATCTAATTTATTGTTTTTATATAAGTAAGTGGTTCAAGTTAAATTAACACAAATATGTTTTATAGTTCTAATCAGACTAATGTTTAGTCTACTTGAGTAAAAGGTCATGAACTATAAGCCATAGAAAAAAAAAACGGCCAAAAAAATGTGCTTTCAAAAAGTACCAAATAATTTACCCGAATATGGTCCTATATAGGGCTTTGTACCCGAATTCTAAAATAATATACATACCAATAGCTTATTTTGTGTGATTAAATTAACTATTTTTTCAAATTTTCTAAAAATTCACTTAATGAGTTTCAATAAATTGAATTTCCCGTTTTTCCCCTTTTTGTGTACTTTTTTCCTTAGTGAAATAGCAAATATTTTGTTTCAATAAATATTATAGAGTTAATACGTAATAAATCGAATAAGTTTTCTTAATGTGCTAAAAAAAGTACCAAAAATACAATTTTATCCCTTTTACACCTGAAAAAGACTGAATTTTAAAAAGTACGAAACAGTTGTCTCATCATTTTGAAATATATATCCAAAATATTTACAAAAAAGTTATATATATTAATTAGTTAAAAAGTTATAAAGGTACCAAAATAACCTTTGTTACACATTTTCACCCCATAAAAGTACGAATTTTTTAAAAAGTACCAGACACCTATCTGCTTATTTTAAGAGTATATACAGGTGCATTAAAAATTTTTATTGTATCATCACTAATATTGGGTGAGATAAGTAAAAAAAAGCTGTTTTACCCGTTTTTCCCCTTTTTACCCATAAATGTACAAATTTTCTTTTCGCCCTTCTAGAATTTTTTTAATTGTCGACTTTTTTAACTAGGCAGTTTAGGAAAAGTCAATTTTTTGAATATTTCCAATTTTTCTGCAATTTTGAAAAAGTCAATTTGTCGATTTTTTACATTTTATATTATGAAAATCTTAGTGCAAATTATAAAAATCTTAATTTTCGATTTTATGCAAATTATAAAAAGTTGACTTTGAATTCATGAAAGTCGACTTTTCGACCGTTTAATGTTTATGTTTTAATCGTGGACTTTTTGAGTTCTGTCAATTTATGAAAAGTCGATTTTAAGACTCTTTTCAATTTA